TCGACTGCAGGGATGCCCAACGTATATTGTGAGGCTACAAGAATAGGAAGCGAATCAGAGAGAGCGAGGAACGTGCAGCGTGGAACTCACCAAAACGGTTTGTGACCATGGATGTGCAGTCAGTTAAACAAATGGACGTTTCGAAGGTTAAAACAACCATAAAATCCAATGTTATAAGATACTGAAAGAGCATGTTTTCAGTTGCACTACACGGTTCGGTATAATTGCATGTACCTCGCTGCAATCGCACCTTCCATACTTGTGGATAACACTCGGAGGAGAGTTATTGCGCACTAGCTGGAGGGCTCCTCCAACTGCCACTGTTGTAGATATGAGTGACTATTCACTGTTTCCACATTGCGGAAACCTTTGTACCTATATATATATATATATATATATATATATATATATATATATATATATTCTACACAACGACAGTTGTGCGCCGGCGACGACAGCAACCTTTTCATCCCATTCTCTGCAGTGAACGATACATGGCTTAGCCCTGAGGTAAGTGTCAGCTGTTTCAGAGGAGGTTGGGATTACAATTCACGCTGCAAAGTATATATGAAATGCGACCGAAGCAAGTTGGCTTCTTCATGTGTCGTTAACATCAGATCATCTATCGCAATGCAGAAATGCAATTTTCCGCTGCAGTCTGTGGTGTTTGTTGGGTTGCTTGTCTTGCATTTTAGGATTGGTACTGAAGTTGATCGCTAATACCTGTTGCTACTGGTGTTTTAATTCACGGGTGAAATTGACGCGATCGTTTCCTTGAGCTATGTCGTCTTCCCATGCGTACGCTATCGGACAGGATTTAAAAGCGTGTGAGGCTGAGTGCTTTCAGGTCAAGATTTTCGAGTCCAGCCCTCATGGGATAGACTCTGGCTTATAAGGCATTTGTTACTATCCCAGTGAATTGGGTAACAAACCCCTCCAGACATTGGAAGACTGTTCGGCTAGGAAAGACCAGTAATTGCTTGAACTAGGTTAGCTAGAAGGTCTCAATGGGTAACGACGTGTGGGTAAATAGTGTTCCCTCTGATGTTTTCCGCATAGCATATTCAATGGAAGCGCAGTGTCGCATAGTCGCTGAGGCCATGGGGTGTACACCTCGTTATAGTGTTGACTATTAGTTAATTATTGATAAGTGCGAGGTCTAAAACTTGGTTCGTCACCCGTTTCAAATAGCTAATGGTGGTATGATTGTAGGAAGGCAAACGGCGATTACGTCTTACATTCTCACTGAGCGGATCTGTGACCTAGATGGCGTGGAGGTTGGAGCCCTCCACAAGATGTACATGACTGTATGATCATGCCACGACTCGCTTCACGGCAAAGCGTAGACAGTGATCCATTTCCAGGGTAGACATTGGAAGGTGATAAACTATTGCTAGTAAACGCACAGCACTACATCTCAAGTGTAGATGGCACCACAGAAAAGCGACGACTTGCGTTTCCGGATCGTCAGTGGTATCAATATCCAAGTGAGATCGTCAATAAAGGATAATGATTCTTCCTCTGTTTTTTCGATCTATTTGTAGGGGAAGCATACCGAGCAGATCTATCTCAGAAAGATTGATATCGGTATTCAGCCATGTCTCGATTACCATGACGGTGTCCTGGTGAGTACGAACCTCAGCTAGCTTACTGGGAAAACCTTGTGCGGTGATATAAAAGCAAATAAGGATCCCAGAGATTAGAAGCAAATTTGTAAATGAACATTTCAGTAGAGAGTTTATGTCGAGCTTGTCGGATCTGATGCTAGTCTTTTCATTTTCCTTGAAATGCTGACATCACGAGAGCTGTGCTGGATTGGGGTGTAAATTGCTCAGAGTCAGTGTCTGGCTGTATCGTTTTAACACCGTCCGGGTTCTGAGCTGAGTGCTGACTTGGTCACACACGAGCGTACTTGTTCAATACGATCTTGTCACTTTGTCTCCATGTATCCATCGCCCTTGTACGTACTTCTGATTGCGGCTTTCTTCGCAGCTATGCCACATTTCGGGCGCTTTTTCTGCCATGCATTCGCATTTCGGTGTTACTTTCGTCATTTGGAGACCACACCCCATTCGTACTTCATATCGAATCGGCGATTACATTTTCCAGCAATATCCCATCACGGCTGATTCACCGTTCTCCCGCGTCATATTGTGGGGAACGCAACTCAAGGCAGACGAGTTGTGCAATGGAGAACCCACGTCTATACATCCTGACAGCACGAATATAGATATTCAGGCCCATTTGCTCACATCCTTCGTGGTACCTTACTGACCCGCAGTTTCTCTGCACCAGTTCATTCAAAACGTACCGGTGGATGCCATTTTCTGCACCACGCGTCCTTCCTCTGGTTGGTTTGCGTATTACACTTTCTTTCTCCGCCGCGATCCAGGATTTCTGATTCTCGTGCGTCTCCTCGTTTCCACACACGCTACTCGTTAGTGTCGCACTACAATATGCCTTGACCCTTAGCTCACTTGAGTTTGACGTTCACGGACGCGGTGGACAAGGAATGGTTGCACAGCCTTTTGTTTGCTCTAGTCATTCGGGATTTGCTAGCGTTTCTGACGTTTGATTCATTTAACATCCGGAAAAATGCCAAAATCACGGGACATGGTTAGAAGGCTGGTGTCTGATAGGAAACCATGCACTAATGGTAGCGTTACTCGGAGTAATCGCGGTTCACCGTAGTGTACGGAGTTTAAATGACGGACGAGGCACCTTGTGCTGGTTCCTTTAGGTTGGACCTCGATAAATTGATGCCTGGCGTCCTACTGTTTCCGGTTACATTACAGTTGGTCTTTAATTGAACTCGCCACAAGTTCAGGCACATAACAGAATGCAACACCCAATGAATTATGATGCTGTTTGGAATTTGCCTTTTTGGAGGAGTGTGTGGCTGCAGCCTTTGATCAGACAACAGATAGCAACCCAGGCCTAACGGTAGTATTGACAACACAAAGTGTTGCTAGTTTGACAGCGGTCGATGACTCTGTCATGTAGATGGTATCAAGCGACGCGTGTGCTGTTAGTTCTGCAACAGTACTGGATATACCACGAGGTTTTGTTGAAGCATACAGTACAGGCGCACCATTAAGAGCAGTCCCTGTACCGGGGTAGGTGTCACTTTGGTCTGCATGTCTAAATCTGGATTAGTGCTTTTAGATCTGGAGAGCGCAGCGAACGGCAGTCCGCCCTCTCAGTCCTCGAAGGACTGGGAGTGCTTTTTTGATCAGCAGGACGTTTGGCATAAATATGACGTAACACATCGGGCGCCACACTGCAAACCAGTTCGTTGCAGAGAATGTACTTACTACCTAAAGTAACTGCGTTAAGTCTCAGGTTACCGAGGTCATTATGAATTTGGGTTACCTTTGCTTCGACAAACTGATCTATTAATTTAAATATGTTGGCTCCCTTTGACAGTTTGAAAAGTATGGTAAGACGAAAGTCGTTAGACGTATACGCTTCATATTGTCTCCACAGTACAATTAACAATAGCCGATAGATAGCCATATACTTAACATGATCAGGAGCTGTAGTGGTTTGTCTCTTTTATCTAACGTAAAAGCAGTATGATTCGCAAGATGGGAACCGACACCTAGTATAGATCACTCTCGCTTGTGGGCAAAATGTTTGCCACCATCACTATAGTTGTTTGTGAAGAGTTTTTCACAACTTCCATAACACGGACATGAAGCAATTGCCTGATGCTTCTGTGATTCCAATGCGTATGACGGCATGACGGAATTACCACACATATGCACATGACAGCCTTAAGCTGTCAAATAGTTGTCTTTGAACACACAATGCATGGCTAACAAGCTTTGTGGTATTGGGTTTTAATTAAACCGCAAGTCAACTGCATCAGCACCGTTTTAGGTGACATTTAGGTTGTTATTCAACCACCCTTAAAGCGCGCCACATTGTTCGCGGATCGACCGCGCATGCAACCCGCTTTTTTACAACCCATAAGTTTTGAGATACACTAGATAACCGTAAACTTCAGTGATAGAAGAATCTAGACTCATCGCATCTGTAGCTTATACTCAGCATCTTCTAATTTCTGCTCTATTTCTGTAGCCTCCAACACCACGTGTAGCGATGAGGAGGGCATAACCAACTGTCCGTCTTACAATTTCATGGTCCCTGTGCTATTGGCGTTCTACATGCTGTTTGCTTCAGTATTACTACTTAATCTTTTGATTGCAATCTTTAGGTAAGTGTGATATTTGTATTTTACGTTGTAACTATAGCCCACTCTCATGGGAGGATCAAACATGTTACAGGGTGATAGAATTATCAGTTAATCTATGGCTAAATGTTGTCATCATATTTAATCATATGGCAGGATGAGCTAATTCAATGTCAAAATGTGATTTATCTGCACATGGTGCTTTATTCCTAGTGCGTTGACTAACTAGCGTGGCAGATGTTGTAGGATGGGGTTGTGGGTCTATGAAGTATGAAAAAATAGTTGTATTTTAACCGCGACAAAGCAACTGATGTTGTATTGGCTCAAACAGTGCCGTAAGGATCGCTTAGGATACTGGATGTAAAGTTAATGCATGCATCAGAATGTTCGCAAACGGTAGAATCAACGAGGGATGCTACCATTAATCAGAGTACCAGAAAGTAAAAAAAGGGACGTAGTCCTTTTAAAGTAGTCAGAAATTATCCGGGAAATAGTAAAACCAATAAGGGCAAATATATGCAGCTAAAAGCACGGCGTACGGAAATCGTTTTGCGTCTGATGGCGCAAGAAAGTAGTCTTCTGACTTTTTACAATGTTCCAGGAAAATTTGTGGACCAGGATTAATGGTAAGAGAAAAAGGAGGTCTGTCTTGGTCACTCGCGATCAAAAGAGTGAGGTACTGGCAACGTAACGCGGTCTGTCGGGACGGAGAAAAGAGGAGTTTACATCATAACAATTGAAATGGTTGGGGGAGAGGAAAAGGAGTTCAACCAAGTCACGAGTTTATCTAAGTCTCGTTGGTTTTTCAAAGACATCTCAACAATTGGGAGCATAAGTTCTAGAGTGGCGTCATCAGAATGTTTATATCCAAGGAACTTGGATGATAAGGGAAGATTTTCGACTTGGATGAAAACTAGAAAAGGATAGAACCTCTACCTGGCAGTGCACCATCTATAACAAGGCTGTATGAGGTTTGTGTAATTTGCGAGATAGTCGCACAATGAATGTGGAACATATGAAGGGATGTCATTTTCGAACAGATCTCGAGCAGCAAGGATCTGTCTAGTACCCCAAAGGCGTTGGTGTAATCGTGGAATAGGAGCTGTACGATTTTGAATTTTCACCCCACACAGACGTAACGTGATGCACATGGTACGAAACGACATACATTATACAACGCCCTAGCTTGTAGGCAAACTACTTCTGATAGTGCGGAGACGTATGGTGTTTAAAACACGTCCAAGAACACGGACGTGTTTAATTGCTCGATACTTCTGTGACTCCCTTGTAGGCACTAGTTTGATACTGGTTGCTTTCCAGATGTCAATGCTAGTGCCAGTGGTGAAGCAACGGTTAACTCTGTCAGATGCGAATGTAAGGTATTCACTCATACGTTCAGAAGCAACGTTGACTGAATATCTGGGCGACTAACCTTATTTGGCTTCACTCTTGTCAGCTACCTGTAAAAACTAGTGTGGTGAAATTAGTTGGGGAATCCGTGATGGTGAATGAAGTTTGGATGAATGTGTTAATTGATGAGAGGCTGAACTTCACTTTGAGATTGCAGTAATCCGTAGTACTGAGTCGATGCGATGAGATACTCTGAGCAATTTATTTACTTTTACATGCTGAATCTTTAGCATGTCGCGGTATACTCGCGTTGTGACGGGTATCTACACCGCGTTTGTCAGCTGCGACGTTATGATAATCCTGGGCCGATTGTTGCAGTTTACCTACTGTGAGTGAAGGAGTTCACTGGTACATCCAGCGACAAACTGTGCATAAAAAGAAACTACAATCTCGTGTTCATTACAGACACACCTAGTGCATTCGGATCTGAAGTTTCCCAAAGGCATCCGTTTCTGCCTTGTAATAGTGTTTTAGAAAAGATTATGCTTTTAGCAGGTAGCCGGTCTGGCGCAGATAACCGTTACAGGTGCACAATGGTGCATCGTGCGTCATCCGTGCTGAATACGGTCTTGCAACACGACTTGTTGTGAACGAAGAGCCTTTCTCCCCAACCTATAAGCTGTCTTGTTATCGTACCCCTCTAAGCTATAATACAGTCCACATTATTTTATGAAACGCGTCAACTTGAAGAGACAACTATTGAGTTTGCTTGCACCTGATCTGCTATGTTAGCTGGTTACACAATCATGTCCGTTCTTAAAGGTTTGCAACTCCTGCTCTTCCCTTACAGCAATGTGTTTCAGCAGGTAGAAGACCACTCAGTTGAAATTTGGAAATACAACATATACGCCCTCGTCGTGGGGTACAACGAGAAGCCAATACTCCCTGTTCCATTTTCGGCATTACAAGTGATGGTCGAACTATTGGTTCTGTTGGTCCGAAGGTGCTCGAACAGACGCAGAAAATGGTCCGGTAAGCCTCACTTTTTAAGCCGGTTAACGTTGATCCTTATAAGCAAATATATGTTGAGCATTGAGAAATCGAGCACACGGAATTATTGATCCTATTCTAATCTCGCTTGATGTTATTCACAGCGTGTTCTTCAGTTTAGAGGCTAAGCAGAACCATAATCCGAACTTTGATTTAAGCATTTAAGTTGTTTAAACCATGATAGAATTCAGCTGCTGCTGAGCACGCGTCACACTGGAATTGCAAATACTTCGCAGCATACAATGTTAGCTTTCTTGACAATTTTGGCTCCCTTCAGCAGCGCAACTTCTGCGGTTACACCCAGCTTCTAAGTCCAGGACCTCTAATAAGTTATATGGCGTTGCTACTGACAGTCTTGACTAATCCCAGTTCACAAATCTATGGTACTAGTTCTAGCGGTAAAAGTTAATGACGATGTCATCATGTATAGAACGGGCCTACTTCAAATGTTTAGACTGATGTACGCCCGATTGCAGTCGAACATGCTTGAACCTCAGGCAGTTGAGCTGAACATAAAATGCCATGTTTCAATGGGGAATTTTCGCAGTCTAAATGCAAAACCATTTCTGCAACAAAACATCTTTCCCGCTGCAGTATCTTCTTGCACCTATTGATCGCTGGCTACAGAGTTTTGCTTGGTTAGGGTAAACATAGTTGAGTAATACTCTGTAACTGGCACTGAATTCCATGGCAAAAAACTACCCAAAATTTGAATGATGGCAGTACATGTCTTGCTTTTCGTCTAAGTTTATGGGATCCATGCAACCGAGGCGATGCTTGCACTGTCACATGTGTTGAATTCCTGCACCCTGACAATGCGAACTGTGACGCTTTATTCACTGTTACGCGGTAAACAAGGCAGGATTGATGAAGTGAGGGGTAATCGCGTTGTCAACTTGCGACCAGTAGACTGGTGGCTTCTAGTGATCACCTAATAGTGCTATGCTACGCCGGCGTAATCGGTGGCAACGTTTTTTAGCAATTTCACCCACTTGTTCCATCTGGTAGCTCTGAGAAGTAAGGGAAACAGACAGAATGTGGTGCAGCCATGTACCACCTATTCCCACTGTACCAAACACCCGTTTGTTCTAATTAGGTGAAAAATGCGCTGCATTTTACCTTCACCTTCAAAGTCCGACTTAGGTGGATTAGGCGTCATTCAGCCCTATTGGTGTAAGGATGTAGTACCTGAAAGTTCAAGTGGAGCCGGTGTCTTGGATTGGTTGAAACAGGTCCTGTCCATCAACAGTTCACCTGCTGAGTTAGTGTAGCTTTATTTAACAATAAATGTAAATTAAGGATATAATAATCAGCTATCCGATTTTAATACACACGCTTGTGCTGTGGTTCCACGATTAGTCAATCAGTTTTGCGAGCCAATGAGCCTCGCGCTTGGTGGTATACGTGAATCGTAGTACCCGCGAGGATTAGTTATGTCCTTGAAATGTTACTTCTCAGTTCCATGCTAATGGAATATTGCCTCAGCAGTGACTGTGTTGGAAGAAACGCTCAAGATTTACGGGAGAACAAGCTATGCGGCAAACAGTAGTTCTTAGGCGGCACAGCTTTTCAAGAATCCTTTCGCAAAACGTTACCTCTCATAGTTGCAGGGCCTAATGGTGAGGAATTCCCATTTTCTAAGATGTGTTGTTGGAAGCTAACATACAGTCTACAAGAGCGTTGGCAATAACCCTTTTGTCATGAGCTGGGATAACACTAAGCACCTCCTGAAACGCTGTTTGCTCAGGTCACTTAGGCCTGTCCAAGCGCCACCACAATTCTACCGCAGTAGCCCGGTAATGATGCACTGCTGTCTTGATTTTGCACGCCTGCATTCGTTCCAACCAGCCCGAAACACTATATATTGATCGATGAACTTGCCCTTGGCGTGCCGTACTTGACTTCAACGCAACCATCCGTGCCGATCCAGCGGTTTCACGATGGACAGATTGGCAATTACACCTGTACCCAGGTGCACTTGCCTACGGCCGTCACTCCGGTAGTTCATACCCATGTGATCGGCTGAGAGACATTTTGAGATAGACCAACATCTACTATTAGACAGTTAGCAATGTAGTGGGATCCCCTCTCACCCGAAGGCGTGAACCATGGTTTCCGTGTAACAGAGTAGGAGGGGACTAAACTTCTGGGACCAACCGTAAACCCGCGACCCAGGAAGTTAAGCACATACTGCACTGCCTTGTAAGAAAGTTTAAGTAATGGTTAACTACTATTACGTCGCAGTAGAATGTTGTTTCTATGAATTTAGGTTTACGACCACCATCAGTGGTTCACAACCATTTTGTGTTTGTCACCCAAAAAGCGAGTTCACCATTACAATTACCCTACCCACATTTTTATTTAAAATTAAGTAACTATTAATTACTACATCTTTTACTTATAAGTACGCAAAATGCATACCAGTTTTAATTACTTCGATCACATAAATGACGAAACTACTTTTTCTTGCACAAGTTTCATATGAGCAAGTTGGTATGTCATAGTTCTACCCAAGTTAACTAAACAATTAAATCAATAAACAAAAATGGTGTTGTTCTTGACAGCATGAGAGAAGTCTGAAGTGGCCTGAACAAAGTACTACAGGCACATGTGCTCGGTACTTGTACACAAACGTTACAAGTTAACCAGGACACACTGTATTCATGTTGTGTATATGAGTATATGTATGGTTGACGGGAGAGCCAGTGCTGCGCTTAGGTTTCTGGTGGCTAGATCACGACAGATGGTCTGCCCAATGCAGCTATTGTTGTACTGCTGTCTCAGGTTCTGGGCGTCTCCTCATGGCGACAGTTGGGTAGGAGTAGGGTTACGTCTTTTTTCTAGCTAAGAGCCAGGAAACCAATCCGGTCAAGTCAGTGAACTGACCATGTGCTAGCCCCGTTGCCATTCGGGTGTAGGTTTTCTCGAAGGTTTTGGCTGAGGACCCGAGTCGTTCTCCTGTCAGTGATGAACGCCCTGCAGATTCCAATAAGGCACTACACTCACGCTCCTGAACCGGATCTGCTCCCCACTGCCTTGTGGGCCAGGCTATTGAGATAAAGGTTGTGGGTGGAGTCCTTCAAACAATCCTCCGAAGCACAAGCAACACCACGTGCGATTGCCCACCAATGCAATCGTATACCTGCGAGCAGAGCACTCAGCGGCGGGTGCTGGAATGTGCGCACACTACTGGAACGAAATTCGGGTAAGCGCACCGAGCGACGCACTGCACTGGTCACAATGGAACTGGCGCGTTATAACATCAAGATTGCGGAGCTCAGCGAGACCCGATCTTTTAAACGGCAAACTGGTATGTACGCCGACTGGCATCAGCGCATGACTGATACCTCCTTGCCCATGACTCGGAAGAGGCAAGCTTGCCACTTTTATAAACACCTACGGTCCGAGCATGTGTTATCCTGATGACACGGGTGATCACTTCTACGCTCAGCTATCCTCCGTGATAAGGTCTGTGCCGATGGGTGACCGACTATTTCTGTTGGGTGATTTTAACGCGCACGTTGGGAGTGGTGCAGCGGCGTGGACAGGTGTTATCGGTCCGCAAGGCATCGGTTAAACTAATGCGAATAGTGACAGGCTGCTTTCATTGTGTGTCATTCACGGCCTGACGATCACGAACAGTAGGTTTGCACTGAGTGCAAGTGATGTAGTAGCTTGGATGCACCCACAGAGTGGTCACGCTCACCTGTTCGACTACGTCATCGTATGTCAGCGTGACATGCGCAAAGTTGGCATGACACGCGTACTGCGTGGAGCTGAGTGTGGCACTGATCATATATTGGAACGGACCAAACTGTACATATCTTTCCGTAAATATACGTATTGCAATCCCGCCGTGAATCGGCATAAACGTAGCATTCTCTCCATCGGTACTGTAACGAAAAGTACTGAGCTGGAGAAGGCGAAGGCTTCCCCCGCATATGTGATGTGGAATGTATAGCCACAGTGGGCGAACTGTGGCACCAAATTCAAGATCAGGTGCAGCTGCCTCCGAGGAAACCATTGGGCACGCAAAATGTGAGCGGCCGATTGAGTAGACGAGAACAATGCGACGACTGGCGTAGTGGTGTTGATGAAGGATGCAGCATTTGCTGCACATGTGACAAACTGGAGAAGGGTAATCAGTTATTCAAATTGTGATAGCGACGAACCTGGGAGCTTCGTCACATTATAAATGACTTTGCAGTTGTTTCTGGTGTGAAGCATGACTGCCATGTTCACTATCTTTCTTCATACAATGACCTCTTGTGCTTTTGATGCGGCTTGTGCTTACGGTGCTTGTTGTGGAGCACCATGTTGGTGGTGGGTTATTGAACATAGGTCGTTTCAGTGAGAGAGCCCAACTGTGTGAGACAACTATCTGTAGGTTGCTGTTTACTGACGACTGTGCGTCGTTTGCGCACAGCACGGATGTTGCAGAACATGACAAGTGCTCTGGCTTCGACAGCGGCAAAATTTGGGCTCACCATCAACACAAACAAAACTGTCTGTCTCTTTCAACCTTCACCGGAGGTGCAATCTACAAGGTTGCAGCCAATCAGCATTGGTGCTGAAGTATTAGAAACCATTTCCCGCTTCTGTTATCTTGGGACTGTGGTTTTGATTGACCAGCAAATACACGGTGAGCTGATTTTCTGCGCATTGAAAACAGCGACGGCATTCGGGAAGCCTGAGTACTAAGTGTGGAACAACCACCAGCTTACCGTCGGCACGAAGCTGACAGTTTACAAAACCATGGTGCTGTCCGTTCGTCTATAAGGCAGCGGAACGTGGACGATGTGCGGCGAGACGTGAGATATCTCGAGCGGTTACATCAGCAGTGTTTGCGACGGATTTTGCGCATCGGTTGGTGCGACAGAGCTGCAGACACGGAAGTGCTGCGTCGAAGTGGAATGTATGCAATGGACCGCATACTTTTACTGAGACACCTGAGGTGGCTTGGTCATGTGAGCCGTATGGAT